CACCAAAGGAGCTGAGAAGGGGGTGATGACTTACTTAGACAATCTCTCATGTACGCCTCATCTCTCGTCTGTACACACTCCTATATATTAAGAACTGCAAAACTGGCTGGAAACCCATGCATTTTTCTTCCACATGAGGAATAAAGTGTAAAACATGGTTGAATTCTTCCCCAGAAGTAATAGCCTCACTTTCAACGTTTCTTTAGGTTAGAGCCTGCACTTCACTAGTACATAATCTGGTTGCTTGTCAAGACCAAAACCTACTAGGCCTTCATGTGACACAGGTAATAGGCCATTTTCTTCTTCCTTCTGGGAACAGATTGAGGAGGTGGTAGGGAAAATGATTACAACTTGAGGCAACAATGAGCAAAGAAATGTTGGTTTAGATCTGTAAACCTGCAAGGCAACAACAAATGCTGGGAAGTTTTCCCATTAGTGTTTCTTGGCCCCAAGTCAGTAAACTGCTTCATTGCTATGTCAATAGCACATATACATATATAAACATGTCCAAGTGCTTTTCTCACTGCAAGTAGATTTAAGAAGTTACAGATATGTCATTTTTTTCTAGATGACCAAAAAAGTCCTCTGTGAAGAAATGTTAATCTTATCCACATACTTCACTCAAAAAGCATTTACAGTTTTAATATTACTGTACCTTACCACTGATGTCACATTAGGCAGTTCTGTTTGTTGGTATGGTTTTGCTTTAGCTGTTTTCTTTTGTCATTCTGGTTTTAATACATAAAGCCAGAAAAGAGTTTTCTTTCTACTATTCTTTTTTTTCATTCCCTGACTATATCATTACAATCTTAATGATGCTATAGGTCTATTTCCTAACAAAGGCATTTTGCATTTTTGCAAGAAGAACAGTGAGATATTTCTGGATCAAATTACTGGCAGTAGAAGTGTGTGGCTGAAAAAAATCTCCATTTTTCTTAAACATCCATCTGAATGGAAATATTTGGAAGAGGTAGAGGAAACAATGGCACATACAATTCTTTTACAAAATCCACTTTAAAAACATTCCTTACATGAAATATTAGAAGTATTTTTATCAGACTATGCATGTCTTATTTTGATGCCCTTGCATAGCACCAATTCTCCACTAAGGCATGATAATATGACTGATACTGGATAGAAAGGAAGTGACTTGGCTCTTACAGGAAAAAAACACCACCTAAATGTGGGAAAAGGTTCATAAATACTTCCAGAGACTGGCATTTTGAAAGCTTGATCTTGAAATCTTAAGAGTACACTTATACAAAAGTTCCTGCCTTCAGTTTGGTGCAGGCTGGGAAGGAATTATTTTGCCCGTCTCTTTTTTTCTGAGCATACTCTCAGCATACTGCCCACCAAACTGCTGACTGCTTGTTCCTCATTAAGGCATGCAATGTGGAGAAACACGCCGGTAAGAAAACCAATGAAGCAACCTAATCAGCAGCTGAGAACCCCTTCCACTAAGTAGCAGGAGGAAACGAAGGAGAAAAACCTCAGACTTCCTCTTTGGAGCTCTACTGGTGTGGACTAATTTAATAGGGATGAGCAGCCACAAAGGCAAACAAGCGCCTGTTGCTTCACATAAGTGACATGTGGTAGGTTATGGATATACTAAAAGTGAATCCCAGAATCTTCACTTTCACAGCTTCTAAAGGGAAAACTCCAAGATCGCAGACTTTCTACTGTATTGACAGGCTGTAAAAAACTCCCTCTGGATCTTAATCAGTGGTGTATATAGAAAAACATAGAAAAGGTTTATGTGTGAGAGGGTGATGGAAAACCAAACGGAAAGGGCACTCGTTTACCACGTCAGATCAGAAATGTGCTGTGCGCAAGAAAGTCACAAAACAGAGAGGAAATGAGGGGGCAAAGTTGTGTCTCTTGGAATATCTCATTTTATCAGCTATATCTATTGTAGTTAAAAGCCATTTAACCTAATGCATTTAGGGGGAAAACCCCTTATCTTTCAGCTAATAATCCCCTTCTACGTAATCCTCTTTTCCAAACTGAGAAACTTGACAGCATGAGAGGAAAAAAGAGTTGAGAATGAATCGGTTTTGTTTCCAAAAGTGGAATATACTAATGAGGTAGATCTAAGGTCACTGATGGCAGAGATCACTTGGGAGGGATGCAGAAGCAAATAGTTTAGCACATGCTTCTTAGCAGATAATCTTTGTGTGGGTGCGTGTCAGAACGTGTATGTGTATGCAACACAGAGATGTACCTCTGTGTTAGAGGATTTTTCCCATGGGACTTCCCTATTTTTGGTAGGTATTTCCTTGTGACCTTTCAGCAGGAGAGAAAGAAAAAGCCTCTAGACAAGGAGATGAAAACGCTTGACAAGATCCTGGCTAGAGAAAGGCTGCCTGATTACAGATTCAGCATGACTTGGCTGCATCCTGTGTAGACCACTAATAACAATGAAATATCACAGCACAGAAAGAGGAACCCTACAAAAAGATCATAGTTCTGCTGTATGCCTTCTAGAAGGATGCTCAGCAATACCTTCTGCTGATAGACCAGTGACTGTGCCCTCATTATGCATACAGTAAAACGAAGGGTGATGTAATGAACTAAAAAAATGTTACTTGCGCTTGCTGTATGTCTCTGTTCCTCAGCTTCCCAGCCTCTCCTAACGATCTACTGCCTGTTGGATTTTCCGAGTTATTCTGTGAGACACATCTGACCATCTACCCAGGCTTCTTGCTTGGAGACACCACTGGTCAGCCCAGTACTCTTGACCTATAGATCCCTCACACAGATTCACACTCTTAAGCCCTGTAACCTGGGGTGAAATGCCGTAATGTAAGCCTCTCCGGTCCTTGTTTCAAGATCATGCTCATTTCAGATAAAGTGAAATGGGTTTTTCAAGCTCTTATACTTCCCAAAAATAAACTGGGATCCAAAAACCTGTTTGGAACTGGGACTGGGATGTGTGTGCGTGCAGTAATGAAACTACATTTCTAAAAAACCCGACCCCAAGGGTTGAGTTGTATTCAACTTAATTAACTGAAGTTGGCTTTTGGAATGTCAGCGAATAATGTGCCAGGAAAGTCTTTGCACTGAGAGTGTCATTAATAGATTATATACATAAGAGACATGATTTTTAAGCTTCAGGTCAAAAAGCCGCCTTTTCATTTTTCTTGGAACTTTCCAACTATTTTATCCATGGTGCAAGTGATAACATTTTATGTCATAATAAATATTCTGAAGGCATTCCTAATACTGACAAATATGAATTACATTTATGCATACTTCACAGTTATAGTTTCATTGTATGAGATACCATGACCCTAAATCTGTAGAGAAAAAGTATGTTTATAAATTTTTCTTGAGGAATCTCTCTACAACAGCAGATGATGTAGTCAATGAAGAGTGAACCTCTAAATTTTCAGGTTAGATAAACAACGTCCAAGCTTTTTTAAAAAGAATATTAACCTTGAGATCTGCAAAACTTGCTTGGAAATCTTCTGATATAAAGTCCTTCATAACATTATTTGTGCTTCCTGCCTTTGGCAGACTGGGAACATCACCAAAATGATCACTTGTCATTTCATTGAATAGAACTGGAAGGTACTGCAAATAATAATCCAATTCGTTCTCTTCAACAAAAGCAAGTTCACTCATCTAAATCATGTTATTTCCTAACTTCCACTTCTGTGGAAAACTAAGGCATGCATTTTCTTGGCCATACTCTAGTTAACCTCTTTAAGAGCAACCTAGGAAAAATATAGATAAACCTATAGATAAACCTAGGAAAAATTTAGATAAAGTTGGGAGAGAACATTAAGATAGAACTGGAGATAATGACTAGATTGATGGTATAAGACAGCCTGGATATCCTGATATGCTGTATGTAAGCAAACAATATGTGCTTTATATGGGACCAATATACAGCCACACATCTGGAGGGAAAATAAAGCAGATTGAATAATCTTATATTCATTCTAATTGTTACGAAACATTATCTGAAGATCTGGTAATTTCAATATTCTGTAATTAAAATAAACTATGAGCTAACATGTCAAATAGTAACTGGTTCCAAACAAAATTCCATACAAACACTCGCACATGAAATAAACTTGATGTATACCAGCTGTCTTTCATTGCTAGTAATGTCTTCATTTTAAATCCAAATTTACCTCTGCCACATATATACCTGCTATTAAATCACATGCATTTACAAATTGTTTAACCAGAAATATTTTATGTAAATGAGGTGACAGAATATAATATAGGTGAGGGAAAAAATAGAGCACAGAGCAGGAAGCTTGAAATGCTCTGAGATTCGTCATGTGGATTTATATTTTTATTTGTTAAAATGAGACGTATGATTTGATACTCAGCCTAGTGCCGTAATTCCCACATCACAAGGTCACCACACAACTTGCTGTGACCTCCTAATTCCACCTAAAAGTCAGCCAGGCCTTGAAAGCACATAACTAGCGCAGATCTTTTGGAATTGCTTTGGCAGAGTCGCATAAGACAGCTTGCATAGTGCTTTTCTTTACCATGTCCAGCTGCATACAGTGAGATTAGCTTCAAGTTTTCATAATCGTTATGTTCACATAAAAGAGGGAAAATTCCAAACCATTACTTTTTGCTTAATGTATATCTTTCCCTGCAGGAAAAGTGCACTTTTATCTTGACATAACTCAAGCCTATAAAATATTCCTTTTCCTGCGCTCAAGAAAGGCATACATTTTGTTCACAGGATATTATTCAACAACCACAAACCATACAATTTCTGGATATCTTAAAAAATAGAAAGTTAATAGTAGCAAACTTTGGATTGAGAAGCTATCTGTGTAATCATTTACTGGCTCACTAACATGTTAAGGGTCCTTGGGTTAGTCTTGAGCCTTTAAAGTTTGGCAGGATAGAACCTCCAGAGGATTTACTACAGCTTAATTATTGACCTGACATAATACTTAGGCTATGTAGCACATGCTGATGGCTTGTTTGGTTTAATTAATTACTGAATAAGCATTTTATTTTTGTACCTTTGAAGATTTCCTGCAGTTAATGTGCCTCGGTTAATTTTCATAGCATTGGACAGAAGTCTGTATGTCTTGCTCAGTGAATTTATTATAGGCAAACCCTGCGAAAAAGGGAAAACACATTAATACTTATAGCTGCTAGGAATCACACATTTTAGTTGTAACACACACTCTGTTCATACTGAATTTAGAATTTGTTTGCAAAACTAAACTTATGCATTCCTATTTACTTTGCGGAATCACCCTGCAGATCCAGGTATATCCATGTCTAATTACCTTGCTTACAAGTCAGCAAGCTTCCATAGTTAAAATAATTGAAACATTAGAGAGCATACATGAATTTTTAAAGATCCTGACTTCCTTGTGTTTTGTTCATTGAAGTACCTATCAATGTGTACCTGCTTTTTCAGTGTCTTAATACAGCTGAGAAAACTTATGGCAGATGTTCTTCTACATGAGTAAAAAAAAGAATAATTTCTACTATTGTAAAATAACTGTACAGAAATGATAAGCTATATTTTATTTAGCTGTCAGAATCAAATGAAAGTGCTTTTCTTTTGTATTCCCTGTGGGAAAGCTCTATCAAATTTAACAGAAATGTATACCTTCAAGTTAAGTGTAGTCTGATTGTTTGGCTAACAAAATTTTTACATCTCCAGCCTCAGATTCTAATGGATGGTTCAATTAGCTAGATGTCCATCACTAAGTTCTATAACTTGTCAGGATATTTTCTGAGAATATTTGTAATATTTTAATAGAATTTTCAGTTTTGGAGATACTCAGCTTTCATAATTTTTCATTCATTTATTTGTTCTTTTCTAAAATGAGGTAATATTAAAATCGTATAAATTAGCACAAATGAGTCCATTTTGTCTTTAGGCAACTGAAATGTAACTACCAGTATCTACTATATTAATCTAAATTCCTCCCTCTTCTTCTTCCTTTGACAAGAACCAATCAGTTTATATCTACTTTCACCTCTTCTGACCTGAACTACTATTAAGATGCAAGATCTCATAGGTGACTCCAGTCAGGAAAAAGTTTCACTGACAGAAAAAGAGCTGTTTCGTTTATTTTCATGAATACATGAAATATTTTGTTGACATGAGCTGTAGTTTCACATTCCTTTAGCCTCGACTAGTCACAAGCTTCTGACAGAAGAGACATCACTTTCCCCTCCCGTCCTGGCAGTGCTTCTCTCCAGTGAGTGCCAGCACGCACGCTCCTGGTGTTGAGGAGAGCCAGGTAAAAGAATTAATCTGACGAAGTATTAATCCTGCCAGCCAAAAGCATACTAGCAAACCAGCAAGCAGGTTAGTTTTCAGGGGTCACCTCTGTCATCTGGCTCCCTGTGTTGTCACGCTGCTGCCAGTGCTGTTACGAGAAAGGAGCAGAACTGGGGGCCACCACCCCAGCAGTCAGCACGTACATCATGAAACCCTCGCCTCGGACACGGGGGCACCAAAACCACCAGGCAGGGTTTTCCAGCATAAGCCAGACCGTCAGTCAAAAAGGCCTCTCTCTAGGCTTTAGTTTCCTCTGTTGTGAAGTCTCTTTCTCTGTCAGTCTGTCTGCTCCCCTTCTTTGGGATCTTTCTCCATCTGGTGCACCACCCTTCTGGAAGGGCCAGCCAAAGCCTGGCTGCCTAATGCTTACGCACTCTTGAACAGCTCTGGAGTTTGACTTTGATTTTGGAACAAGCATGCTTTACTGTTTCTTCCAGCTGTTTTATAAGGGCAGTGGCAAGGAAGTCTATCTGTTTTGAGGATAATGAACAGAGTTAGATTCTTCATTTGAGAAGTTCTGAAAGGTCAAACCCAACCTTATTAGGAAAACTCTGCTGACTTGCACAGACACCAGCAATGGGAACAATGAACACATATGGGGAGCATTATTTCATGCACAGCTGGGTACCTGGGACCAAAAAAAAAAAGAAATCCCAGGAAAAATTGGGGTGTTTATAGCTTCCAGGGAATGGAGTGGGAGGAAAAAAAAAGAAAGAATGAACCCTCCCTTCAACAAACCCAAAATGGAGATAGTGTAAATCAAGGAACCTGAAATACATACACCTCTTATATGCTGCTACAAAATGAAATGTAACCTTTGCTTCTCTAATGCAGAACAGGTCAATACAGTGGCATATACAGTGCCTGGCAGTGGACTCATTGTCTCAGTTAATCAGAAAGGATTGTGAATTTTAAATCACTGGCTTTTAGGCAGCCAAGACTGTGAAGGTCTGAATAAGTTTAAATAAAAAGCTGCCAGTATTTGGGAACTTAACAAATTACCTCATAGTTATTATTATGTTATAAATAAGTACTTGCAATATTACGGTCCTCTAAATCTTACCTTTTTCTTATGCAAGAAAGAAATATTGTCATTTTTTTCCCACTCTCCCTCAGTTCAGTCTTTTTTTTTGCTGTAATAAATAAACCAATAGAAAGTTACAACAATTTCTAAGCAATAAATTTAATAATATTTTTAAAGAAAAAAACCAACAAATCACTTGCATTTATCTGTAAATTATTTCTAGGAATATATCCCAGCACAATAAGAAAGACATTGCATAAAGTAATGTTTTTTTGAGCTGTCCCATAAGCCTTACTGGGACCATTGCCTCTCATTTCAGCAGCGAAGGGTTACAGCAAAGTACATTGCTACTGCAATTTTCTTCATTTATCAACAATTCTTTCTTCTTTAATTCTTTTCTTGAGAAGGTTATACTGATAGCATACAGTATCTACAGAGGGCAGTAGCTCTCTGTAGCTTCTGCAGGTGCAAAGCAGAAATCCAGCAAGTCTTATTTAGATTCCAGCCAGTAAGTTCAGTTAAGCCTGCTTCCTAATAAATCAAAAAACAAACCAATGTGCTGTTAGGTTTTCAAGTTGGTAGTGGCTGTGAAAACCAATAGGTCTTCTGGGATTTCACCTTGAAAATTTAAACCCAGAATCTAGATTGAACACTTTTAATGTACAACAAAAATACATAGGTATGAAATAATTGGAGACGTGAAAAATAATGTTATTATTGTATTACCTAATATGTGTTTTTGGCTCTCTTTCTTTGAGAGATTGGTCTCTCCAGCTTTTAATAATTTATTTTTTGTTGATCGGATTCCAATTTTTCAGTAATGCTGTAATAGCTAGGATAATCAGACTGAAGGGTTTCTTTGTGATTCTCACTAGCTACTATTGAGCCTTTTTGCTCACTGTTAATGTCACATAAAGTTATGGGCAACTAATGAAGACTTGCCTTTCTCTCTGGATACCCTCAGCATTCTTGGGCACATACATTGCTTGGGCCAAGAGGCTAGGAATTAAAAAAAGCACCCTCACAGTCAATCACACTCAACACAACTTATCTGTCCCAATGGTCACATAAGCCCTCCACATCATAGGAGCCAGCAATGCCCTGCGACCTTCTGAGCGCAGTAACTCCTAGGTGACCAGCACTAGGGATGGGTGAGTGCACCGGGCCCCTTCCCACAGGAGCTGGTTGAATGCACAGTAGTGTTACAACAATTTTTCACCCCGGCAAAATCTGTGATATAATGAAAGGTCAAGAAGTCACAACTGACATGTTTTTTCCACTTACTGTATTAACTAGACCAAGTCTTAAGCACATGATGCAATGAAAGATTAGCTATCAGCCACAGTATGAGGGGATGTGAAGAAGGGATAGGTATGCAAACACTAGAAGATGATTAATCAAATTATTCCCTCAATTTTGAAACATAAATGTTATTATTGTATTAGCACCTAATAGAACCAACTGTTTTTTTACAGTTACTTGTTGCAGTTACGTGGAGGGATGGGTTGTGATGCACAGGCCAGCTTTTTAGCCTCAGTCATGTGAGTGCAAATGCCACTGAAAGGGTAGCTGCACATAAGTACCAAAGGATGGATTTTGGCCCTTAACTTGCTATAAAAAAGAGTATTTTTTTCCTATTATTGTTGTTGTTATGGGAAACAAATTGGGCAAAGAACTTTTGGAAGGAAAGTGTTTTCTAATGGCCAAGAATGTAATAGCAAAGAAAATAAAGAAAACAAATTATCAAGATGAAAATAAACTAATGAAGAAAACAATGATTAGAACAGCAAACTAAACAGAGGGAAGATGCTTAAAAAACAATCCTCAAATCATCCCTGTTCACAATCAACAAGCTGACTGCATGTGTACAACAAAAGCTCTTTTTTTCTGTGTTTAAAATATCTCCTCCTTTCATTGTGAGACATCCATGGTTTTTTTACCTCTTCCTTCTTGCTCACCACTGCACTTAAGATGCTAGTTTCAAGTACAGGTGATAAGGCGAAATAAAGAATCACCTAATAGCACCAACTGAAGTGAAACATTGGCTTTAGGAACCTCTTTATCTACACATACGAAAGGGTAAAAACATCAGATGATGAAGCAGAGTGACGATGAAATAAGCCATTGGATGACATACAGAAGAATGAATCCAATAGCACTGGAATCAACAGGAATTTTTCCATTTACTCTAATGGGCATTGAACTAGTCCATTACAGAGCAGAAAAAGACACATGGAGATGGTAGCTACCATTGTCAAAGTTTCCAGACCCCTGTTTTCCACATTCATGAGCATATGAAAATACAATACTTTCCAGTAGGTGCACAAACGAGTTCATTATGACTTAACATTAGAGACGATGTTATGCTATAACTTTATTCTACGGAAAAAGGACTCATTATTTTCTTTAAATGCTGCTGTGTTTAAAGAAATTGCAGGAGCATTTTCATTTTTTTTCTTTCTTTCATTTTTCTTCTTCCAGTTTCTGTGCACCATTTACTATCTAAATTCTGAATACAGCCTTAGTTAGGAACCTTGCCACAACACATTTCCAACCTGTGGTACAGATGGAGACTTAACAGTGTCCCACGATGAGAAAGGCTTACAGCATGCAGCAATGCAAGATTAGTATTTACTGTTCCGCCTTTGAACAGCAGGCATTTAGATACTGCTGCATGGCATATTGTTTGGGAATTTTGGGGAGTGTAGGTGTACGTGTGACAGTGAGAGAAATCCTTCCTATATAACACAGATGATAACCAATAAAACATAGGAGGGTTTACTATGTGTAGGACTTTTTCCATACCTGGGACATATTGGTGACAAAGAGTTTTCCGAATCGTTCCGGAAGCAGTAATACATGACTGTTACCATGTCCTGGGGCTGCAATGATCTTATTTAAGCTCACAAAGGAAACACAGTCACAAAGCCTCCAAGGAAGACCCAAGGGACTGCAGGGAGGGTTGTGTGTGATTCACTCCATCTCTGAGTCAGTCCTGAATTTACGTACTCAGTTTCATGCCAGAAGGGAGGTCTTTCAGAAAACAGGAAGATACTAAACCCACATCTTTCTACAAACTCAGCCAGAGACATGTTCATTACTTCCTCAGACCAGCGCTGTGTAAAGAATGTCCTTATGCAGCAGCTTCGCATTTCACCCAGAAACAACTTTATTCCCGCAGAGAACTCAGTGATTTCTGTGTGCATAAAGTGCTTTTGCATTTCCAGGGTTTACTTGTTACACAAGTAACAAGTCCAAAATGATTGCAGTTGTAACTCGCTGAAAACAGAATGAACTGGAAAACATTTTGGTGGCTGACTTCACAAATGCCAATAAACGGACAAGAGAATCCAATTCCAGTTATTAAATACTTTTTTGCTGGACCATCTATAGGAATGACTGCTGAGCAGCCTGAGCAACCACAATTTATGTAAGTGTTTGATTCTCCTCTGGCCTTGTATTTCTCATTGCCTTCAGTAGGCACTGTAAGAAGTATTTCTGAATAAGGATATATCCTAATATTTCTCAGAACTGCAGCTCCATTATTGACAGATAAGGGAGCTCCAGCATACACAGAGCTCTCCCACTGCCTGGCACTGTTATCATGCCATCTAGCCTTGCACATAACAGATTTAAACAGAGTAGTAAAAAGGCACCAAATGCCAGCAACTTATGAACATTACTGATTTCACCACTTATGCAGCAGTATCGTCATAACAACGGAAACATCTATTGTTTAAAAAAAAACAATGGGTCAGCCTATGCAGATCAATACAACATCCATTTCTAGTTGAAAAACAGTGACAGTTAAAACTGATCTCACATGCTTCTAGATATTCATAACTCAGTGGGATTATCTCAGTAGACTGATTTCTAAAGGGCTTCTATCACTTACTGCAAAAGATTCATAGAGATGGGTGATATTCCCATTATCATTATTCCAGTGGAATTCATCATTGAGGAAAGTGGAAGCAAATATGACTGATCTTAGAAACAGCAAAAAGGTGGCAGAATCTTCTTGAAATAGATTGAACCTGACAGGCACTTATTCCTCAAAAACTACTTTTATACAAACTTATAACTCTTCAGGGTGTAAGGTATTCCTGTGTTTCTGTTATGCAATTGTGGGAGAAGAAAACAAATAATTTGCATTTAAAAGGATATCTATCTCAGTTTCGGTATTTGGGAGACTCTAGCAGCCCCAAAAAAGACTTAAAATGTTAGCTGATACTCAAAATACATGAAGGGGGAGGTGGAGCAGAAAATTTCTTAGATGTGACTTGATGAGGATTAATGAGCCCCCAATTATGTGTGTGCTTTCTTAGTTGATAAAATATCAGCATCTCCCTTTGCCTTACTGTTCTGGCAGATTTGTTTTTTCAGCAGCCAAATACAGCCTTTTGTTTAGCGAGAAACACAAACTACAGACAAGGTTGCTTCAGACAGAAAAATAACTCAGGGGTTTAATAAAGCAGGCTTTTCCTATATTTCAGCACTTAAAATAACAAAGTCACTGTGACTTGAAACCTGACTACTCCTTATCGCTTTCTGAACATAAAGAACAATGTCACTACGATCAATGAATCAAAAGGCAAGATGACCTTAATTTAAATATTTAAGGAGCAATTTAGGAAAGTGAAACGTGAAGGCAAGGAAGAAGGCAAGGAAGAGTACTTGCTGGAAACTTTGCCTCTCTGATTTTGAGAACGCACAAGTTTACTTGATAAAGAAATGAAAATAATTGTAAGTAATAAATCTTTTGTGTTATCTTGTTAATGTCATTGCTTTTTTTTTTTTTTTTTTAGAAATGTGGTAGCATTCCATAGACACAACTGAGCTCTGCCTTCTGTTAAAGGTTGCAGCACCGCTGAAGTTTGAACTCATTTAAGCAGTTCTGTTGTGCTTTCAATTCCCCCTACCTTCGTTTTTTCTTCCAGTGGATTGAAATGTGACCAAATAGCAGCATGACTGGGAATGGAAAAGATAATTCTCACACGACATTCTTCTCAGTGCTTTGGGGAAAACACACACACACAAACGCATTTGCTCATGTCTGATTCAGGATGTGAAAAAAAAAATAAATAAGGCAAATCTACAAGAATTTTTTCT